AATTGAATGGCAAACGTTATATTTTATCATGACCCCCCAATTTCTGGCATGGCCCATTTTACCCTTTAATTTCTTAACATTTCATGCAAATCTGAGCTGTGTCCTGCTGTGTCCATTATGAGGGGCTTCCGTCATCCCTGCTCTGAGTTCACAGGTCCACACACCTGCTGTGCCCTTTATGAGGGGCTTCCACCATCCCACCACTAAGATCCCGGGTCTGTACACCTGCTGTGCCCAGTATGAGGGGCTCCCACCATCCCTGTGCTGAGTTCCCAGGTCTGCACACCTTCTATGCCCATGTAGAGGGGTTAATTTTGTTTATTGAAAATCTTACAAACACGAACTTATATACAATAAAACATGAGTTCCCAGGTCTGCACACCTGCTGTGGACATTATGAGGGCTTCCAACATCCCTGTGCTGAGTTTCTTGGTCTGGACACCTGTGGTGACCATTATGAGGTGTTCCTACCATCCCTGCTCTGTGTCCCCAAGTCTGCACACCTGCTGTACCCAATATGAGGGACTTCCACCATCCTTGTGCTGAGTTCCCCCGATCGACACACCTGCAGTGCACATTGTAAGGGGCTCCCACCATCCCTGTGCTGAGTTCCTGTGTCTGCACACCTGCAGTGCCCATTATGAGGGGTTCCCACCATCCCTGTGCTTAGTTCCCGGGTATGTACACCTACTGTGCCCATTATGAGGGGCTCCCACCATCCTTGTGCTCAGTTTCCAGGTCTCTACACCTACTGTGCCCAATATGAGGGGTTCCCACCATCCCAGCACTGAGTTCCCAGGTCCGCACAACTTCTGTGGACATTATGAGGGTTCTCACCATCCCTGGGCTGAGTTCCCAGGTCCGCACAACTTCTGTGGACATTATGAGGGTTCTCACCATCCCTGGGCTGAGTTCCCAGGTCTGTACACCTACTGTGGCCATTATGAGGGGCTCCCAGCATTGTTGTGCTGAGTTCCCGGGTCTGCACACTTGTTGTGCCCATTATGAGGGCCAAACCATCCATGTGCTGAGTTCCTGGGTCTGTACACTGCTGTACCCATTATGAGGTGATCCCACCATCCCTGTTGGATATTTTTTTAATATTATATGGAAAGTGACTCCCCCACCAGACTTCACCTAGAACTAGAGTAGCACTTGTGGGTGGGCCAATGTGGAACATTTCCATAAAACATGCAGTAGAGTGAAATATGACAATAATTTGGCAAGCAGATCTCACCTGCAGAGTCAGTTCCTTTTTAAATGTTATTATGCATATTATTGTGAAGGTAAAAGGTCGTGAAGGTAAAGGTAAGGTTGTAAAGCTCACAAGGTGTCTTGTGATTTGCTGTGACATCACTAAGTCACTAGGTTGTGTGCCTGCAGTATGTGCACACTGACACCATTGGGTATGCAGAAGCATATTAGCATGCAGACAGGACATGATGATTGGTCAATGCGGCCATTATAGGGTCTGTCATTCTAAATCTATGGGTGCACTCTGATTGGCCTAGCTTTGCTGCCTGATCTCACTCCTCTTCTGGCCGCTGCCTGCCTTGTTCCTGAGCCCTCTCCACTGTGCCTGTCATGGAACCCCGTCCTCATTGATTGACTGGTGACCGATGCTTGGTTTTACTATGTCCTTGCCTAATGTCTTTGAAGGCTATTGCAGCTTATGGTTACCACCTGCAAGGCGATTGCGGGGGTCATGCACCAAGGGCCTGCACTGCACTGAACTAGGAATTCCAATCTCACTGTCAGTGGCTTTGGTGATGCTCAGGTACCCCTAGAGTTCTGCTGCTTGGTGGGAGATCATCAAAAGACATCACCATCCTGCTGTTAGTCAGGAGCCTTATCACCATACTTACTCTGTCTGCACAGATCCTGTATCCAGATGAGGAATACTTACATTTTAACAGACCTCCATTATGGAAAATGTAGGGCTGCAAGCCCTGAGCTGCATTGATGGGACAACCCTGAGTGTGGGTGGCAGCTCAGGAAACCACAGTTCCTACTGGCCCTGCCCATCTTATTGAGGTGATCATAAGCAAATTGTTAAGTTCAAAAATACTTGCAAACTCTATTTCTCCACGTCTTTGGTTTGAAAGGCAAAGAGATCTCTCAGCTCCAGGAGGACCTAAGGACCTGGGATTTCAGCCTTTTTGGGACCACTGGGTCTTCTCTTTGGTGATCTATACCGAACTGCAGCTGTCTTCATCAGGCAAAGTGAGCTGCTAAAGAATTCTGCCCTACTGATAGGCCACTGACCCATGATGGAAAGACATTGCCTTGCAAAATCAGTTTCACCGTAGACTTTCAGAGGCTGTCAGAGATAGCTAAGGGACCACCTATGACTGGCTACCCTTGAGCACGCTATGGAGCTAACATGCTATGGAATTGAATGTAATGTACATTTCTGCCTCCAAAAAAGATGCCAGGAACGTATGACCAGTACCCCTCCACCAACAACTCCATACATTCCATCAGATCTGGCTTCATCGTTTACTTTACTACCTAAGGGGCCAATGCAACTAGAAACTTCTTGGTTGTGGTACAAGGAAAACTTCTGCATCGGGAAGATCAGATTCACATTCAAGATTTAGAAGAGGCCTGGGGTAGAGTCAAGTTTTTTAGGCCCCATTTACACCTAAGCGCTTTGTCGCAAGCATAATAATGCCTGTAGCTGGAAAATCGCACAAACTACCTTTTGGTAGGGATGTCCAGATACCAAGAATCGTACCTGGTACAAGTACAAGTACTGATAATGTTAGGGCCACAAATATAATGAAGTGGCCCCATGGGATTGTGTCAGTAATTTTAGTCATAGTTAATGTACAGCATTTCTAGAACTTTCTGTGGGCTGTTTCTGGTTTCCCCATTTCATCTGTTTCAGGTTTTCAGGTTACCCTTACTAGCTGTCACTTCAGTTCTGCCTGGACATTGCTGTCACTAGGAACAGGGGCGTATCTGCCGCGAGGCAGCGGCAGATTCGCTGAGGGCGGCGTTGCTGCCTTGCCTAGGGCAAAGCTGCACATCCCCCCCCCCACTCCAATACATTTCAATGGAGCTGTTCACATCTCGTCGCTCAATATTGCTCAATATCGCTCAATATCGCTTGTAGCTCGTCGCTGGTAGCTTGTCGCTCCTACATGACCCTTTTTTAGAGCGATTTTGAGCGATATTGCTCCTGATTGCATACAGCCCAATAGGAAAAAGTTGCGCAACACGTCGCTCAATATCGCTAAATATCGCTCGTCGCGCAATATCGCTCAAAGTCGCGCGATTTTCATGTCGCTCAGTGTGAATGGGGCCTAAGGAGAACTATGGGGAAAAGCCCTGACCCCATAGTTCTCCTTTAAGGGCCTGTTCACACCATATGCAGTTGTGATGTAGTCAGTTTATTTTAACTGCTGCAGTCAAAATACATCACAATGCTTTCCTATGGGCTTTCTTGTGCCTAATTCACACCATTGCAGTCCGTTCAGATGCAGTCAGAAAAAGTACTGCTTGTCCTATTTTACCTGCATCTAACGGCACTAAACGCGTCAAAACGCAGTGCAAACGCATCAAAACGCACTAAAACGCAACTGAGCGCATTAAAAAAAAAAACAGAATTTATTATGGCATCATCCAGAGACATGCAGGAAAAAAAAAACGTATCAAAAACGCATCACAAACACGTTAAAAAGGATCGCAATGCAACTGCGCAGACGCACGCAGTTGTGGACAGTGTTTAATGGTATATTGGACTGGTGTGATGAGTATGGCTCGAGTCTGGGTGACTGAGCTAATTTATGTTTGAAGTTTTAACTGGTTTTAAAGTTTATATATATATATATATATATATATATAGGACTAATACCGTTGTATAGTCTCTATTTATTTCATTATAGTTCAATGTATTTATTGGTTTGTGGGTGCTGTGGGGTCTACAATCCCATGTTCCAGCTCCAAGACCAGACCAAGTACAACCAGACCAAGTACTGATACTTGTCCAAGTATTCACAGATACCAAGTACTGATACATTTTTGTTCATTTTCATTTGACAGTTTTCTTAAAACACTACAAACTATTGATTTTAGGTACAGTGGTGGAGCGCCAGGGCCCAGTCCCAGCTGCAACCGCTGCAACCTTGGTAGTTTGCGTGAAAATGCAAAAAAAAAGTATCGGCACTGGTATCTGAACTGTTATCTGAACATCCCTACTTTTTGGCAGATTAAATCGCTCTTTGGTCCCATAGACTTCAGTGGGAAACCTTGTGCAACAAAACACACAAAAAATGTGCAAAGGCACGCATTTTCAGGTGTTTCCCCTGGAGGAGGAGGTGGACACCTGATGTCCTTGGTTGCTAGGACACTAGGTGTCCTAGCAACCAACGTCTGAAGAGGAAGGGGCCTGTGCTGGGCTATGGTTTGCAGTGTATGCACCGGCCTTGGAGGCCATAACCAAGCGTAGGTTAGCGATTGGTCTGTGTCTAGACAGGGAAAGCCAAGGGCCGGATGTGGCCCACGGGCCGTGAAATGCCGTTCTTTTTTACGTGCATTTATGTGTTTTTTATGTCTTTTCAGGCATAAGTGTTTTTGTTTAGGCCAATTGAAAGCAGGTCAGTTGGTGGAGATGGTTGTTAGGTGTGAAAAGCACATTTGTGCACCTAACAACTGTCCCCTCCTCCTAGGAAATGCGTTTCAGATCGCTCAGGTGTGATTTAGGGCTATGCACTGGGAGCTTTATTTTTGTCATTGTGTTTAGTTATATGTTAATGAAGAAAGCCAAACGAAAACTCAAAACAAGGGAGCTGCAGAGCAGCCAGGCCTATGACCGACACCACCCTCTGCTGACACCAGCTCAGGCAGTCCAGCAGCGTAGATTAGAGCTCAGGCGGCCCCTGCCGACTACTTTGCAAAACGACACCCTGCTGTTGTAAGTTCTGTGTACGTCCCGTCGCTAGGAGGCAATGTGACGTCACTTCCGGAGTCGGCGTTGCCGGGGAGACGGGATGCTGAAGGTGAGCTGCTGGCAGAAACAGTGTAGAGAACACGGGATCGGTCTCCCCGCTCCTAGTGCCGGTAATGTGCGGTGTGTGTGAGCTGTGTGTGTGTATTATAGCTGAATAGACCCAGATTGGGCTCCTCCTCTTTATAGGTCAATAACTTTAAGTGTTGTGGTGAACTACAAGTGCCAGCATTTCCTGCCATGCTTTGTAGTTCGACAGGACCTGGGCTCAAAGTATTCTGCCCACTTATGGGGCAAGCAATGTTTTTTAATAACAAAAAGGAGCGCAGAGTATTTAAGTGCATTGTGAATCATTTTAAAGAGAACCGGTAATCAATAAGCACATAATCACATTGCCCCCTAGGAAATAAAATGGGGGTGATATAAATAATGGTGACTACCGTGTGAAGAAGAGGGCATGGGGTACCCACTGACTGCTCCCAGTCACAGTGTGACCATTGGAAGCTGGCTGCACGGGTTCCTGATCACATGATCAGTCTAAATGTCGTTGACAGTGATCACATGATTTGCTGCCTTCATGCAGGCAAACTGCGCTCTGTTGCTTCTGAGCCCCACTACAGGTACAAAGAACAAATGGCGAACACATAGGTGGTATCCACGTGCACGTCAGGAACAGGAGAATTTATTTTGGTGGTGGTTGATATAACGGGCATCAAAAATACAGCTAACGTATAACAAAAATCTATTCTTTTCACTATTTTAGGGCAGTTAATAAAACGAAATTAGGAAATATCCATCACCATTCACCACCAAAGAAGGGCCCAATTATCCTGCCTTGGTGGCCGCCTGTACTGGACCCTTCAGCTCTGTCATTTCCATACTCAAGAGCACTCTGGCTACATATTGCAGAAACAAGCACCATGGTTGTAGGAGTGAGAGACAGGAGACCCACGGAGACACAAAACTTTTTTTGTTTTTGTCTTTTTTGTGCTTGGCAGTGAAAGTATTGTAGATCAGCGTCTCTCAACCTTTTTTTAGTCACAGCACCCTTTAAACGTATGCAAAATTTAGAGTCTAAAATGTCATAGATTTTTAATGGGGACCCCACCGCAAAAAACACACAAAAAAGTGGGCTTGCCCCTTCACATTGAAATGCCCCCCTTCAAATCAAGATTCCCTCCCCCCTTCATATCAGAGTCACCCATTGCACCAGTAGCCCCCTTCACATCAATAGTTCCCCTTCATATCAAGAGCCCCCTTCATAGCATTAGCCTCCCTTCACATTTGGAGCCCCCTGCACATCAATAGTTCCCCTTCATATCAGGAGCCCCCTTCACAGTATTAGTTTCCCTTCACATTAGGATCCCCCTTCACATCAGAGTAATCCATTGCACCAGTAGCTCCCTTCACATTACCTTACCCACCTCATAGTTCTAGCCGACCTGAGCATTAGTTTCCCTTCACATTAGGATCCCCCTTCACATCAGAGTAATCCATTGCACCAGTAGCTCCCTTCACATTAGGAGGCCCTTCATATCAGGAGCCCCCTTCACAGTATTAGTTTCCCTTCACATTAGGATCCCCCTTCACATCAATAGTTCCCCTTCATATCAGGAGCCCCCTTCACAGCATTAGTTTCCCTTCACATCAGAGTCATCCATTGCACTAGTAGCCCCCTTCACATTAGGAGGCCCTTCATATCAGGAGCCCCCTTCACAGCATTAGTTTCCCTTCACATTAGGATCCCCCTTCACATCAGAGTAATCCATTGCACCAGTAGCTCCCTTCACATTAGGAGGCCCTTCATATCAGGAGCCCCCTTCACAGTATTAGTTTCCCTTCACATTAGGATCCCCCTTCACATCAATAGTTCCCCTTCATATCAGGAGCCCCCTTCACAGCATTAGTTTACCTTCACATCAGAGTCATCCATTGCACTAGTAGCCCCCTTCACATTAGGAGGCCCTTCATATCAGGAGCCCCCTTCACAGCATTAGTTTCCCTTCACATTAGTATCCCCCTTCACATCAATAATTCCCCTTCATATCAGGAGCACCCTTCACAGCATTAGTTTCCCTTCACACTAGTAGCCCCCCTTCACATCAGAGTAATCCATTGCACCAGTAGCCCCCTTCACATTAGGAGCCCCCTTCACATCAATAGTTCCCCTTCATATCAGGAGCCCCCTTCACATCAGAGTCATTCATTGCATCAGTAGCCCCCTTCACATTAGAAGCTCCCTTTACATCAGGAGCCCCCTTCACAGCATTAGTTTCCATTCACATTAGGATCCCCCTTCACATCAATAGTCCCCCTTCATAACAGGAGCCCCTTCACAGCATTAGTTTCCCTTCACACTAGTAGCCCCCCTTCACATCAGAGTCATCCATTGCACCAGTAGCCCCCTTCACACCAGAGTCATCCATTGCACCAGTAGCCCCCCTTCACATTAGAAGCTCCCTTCACATCAGGAGCCCCCTTCACAGCATTAGCTTCCCTTCACAGCAGGAGCCCCCCTTCACATCAGGAGTCCCATGTCCTATACACTGTGTATAGAACATGATGACTCAGGGACCTTAGACCGCTGTAGTGGAGGGTGAGAGAGGCTCCAGGGACCAGTCTAAAAGCAAGCTGGCTCAGAGGATCAGGTGAGTATAGCTTTTTTATTTTCCTTCCTAGACCAAAACGATCACTTAAAGGAGAACTATGAGATGAGTGATTTCCACTCACCTCATAGTTCTAGCCGACCTGTGACAATGAGACTGTCACAAGTCAGCTCAGTTAGATCGGGAGGTGAGCGAACACATACCGGCGTTCGCTCACCTCTCGATCCTGTCACGGCTCTCTGCCGTGACAGGGGAGGGGCTGGATTCTCCCCTCCCCGCTCCGATCTGCCAGCGCTGACTGGCAGAACAGACGGGGGAGGGGGCGGGTACAGCTGGGCGGATCCCGGCGTCCAGGTCGGGATCCGCTCCGGCGTCTCAGTATACCACGAGCTACAGCTCGCGGTATACTGAGCTTAGGGTAACGGGAGGACGCTAGTTTATGTCCTCCCGTTACCCTAAGGAGAACTATGGGGAAAAACACTGACCCCATAGTTCTCCTTTAACCCTTGCAGTGCAATTGCCCAGTATAAACTTGGAAACACACTGAAGAGTCAGTAAGGCAGTTATTTTTATTATATTTCTATTTTGTATTATTATTTATATTTTTGCAATCAGGATAACAGGCAATGCGCTAAAGCTCCCCTTTTAGGATACAGTCCAGGGAGAGGATAGAGGAAGGTACAGTTGGCTGCCTGTACTAGTATACCACTTAAAGGGAACCTGAGAGGATGACACATTCAGTGAATGTTGAATAGGTTCAGACTTCCCATTTATTGCAGGTCAGTGACTCAGCAGGCAGTACAACATGTGGGGGTGATGCCCCCATAGTTGGATCCTTTTATAAATAAGTCAACTATGGTACCCACATGCCAAATGTAACGTTTTTGGTTATGGTTGTATGTATTCCTGACCAGCATCTAACTGTCTGGCTGCCTTTATGCACATCGACCTATCCTGTCCATACCAAACTCCCTGTCTGAGCAATTCTCTTGTTCCAGTAGACATCTGAATAGAGGAAGCCATGATGATGCTAAGCCAGAGGAACAAACCGCTGCGTTGCAGGGAGGTGACCGGGCCCACCCCTCATTCTGTGGCCGTGGTAAGTCCTGCCTTTCATTTGTCTTTGTTTTCTCATGCTTAGGAGATGACAAGATGGTGAAGTTAATGGGTGTTCCATATTATCACATATTGGATATAGATCAATGCAACTTTAAAGCCCAACTCCGGGCAAACGATGTCTTAAAGGAGAACTATGAGGTGAGTGCTTTTCACTCACCTCATAGTTCTAGCCGACCTGTGATGGGTTTGTGTCCTCCCATTACCCTAAGGAGAACTATGGGGAAAAACACTGACCCCATAGTTCTCCTTTTAATTAAATGGGCCCCTTCACAGTGAACACAGCATTAACGTAGCTTATGATACAATACTCACCTACAAACCAGAGCTCCCTGCAGTACTTCTTTTTCACCACAAGATGCCCTCAGTCTTCAGGGTTAATTGAACCTCAGAAGACAGAGGACATACTAGAATGTAGGGTGTCATGGACTTACCTCCTGAGGGGCGTCACTGTGACCCCTTCATTCATTATGTACTGATAAAGAGAGTGGAGCTGAAGTTATCATTTCAGTGCCGCTTTCTGCATCTCTGAGGACTGCGCACTGTTCTGAAGATTGGGCGAAGAACAGGTCTCTGGGTGTCAAGTGGCTGGCCAGTAGACATTGAAAAAAAGGTAAGTACATTTTAAAACTGCATAAAATACAACTGGGGGGACCTCATGGCATACACATGATGTGACTTAAAGCCCAAATCTGGGCATTTTTTTGGCCCCCAGTATGGGTTCAATCCAAAAAAGCAGCATGGCTGCAACCCCTCTCTGGCACCATGCCCCGTAGTAATTTAATTCTGGCTGCCATGGATGTTCTCAGTCTCACGGGTTGACGATTTAACCAGGTAGAATGAAGACATACTGTAAGTCTAGGACTTCATAGGCCCTCCCCCTGTGATGGCATATTGCTATTATAATTTAATGATGCAGATTTGACAGTGTCACATCAGCACCGCTCTCTAAATCATTAAGGACCGCCCCATTGCTGGGAGTAGATACATACAAAAGCCATGATCTGCCTACATTGCATCGAGAAGCACAGAGACCCAGGGATGACATCGTTTGGTCTAACAAAGTGTGTAATAAAAACGGAAAGGATTTATTTTAAAATGTCATTAGTATGTTGGTGAGAGGGCAGGGAGGAACCAGGGAAGGTAAAATATAAGGAGACTAAACTTCAAAGAGAACTAGGGGGTAACCTTTTTATCCCATGGTTCTCCTTAGGGTCATGGGAGAACATATTCTAACTTCCTCCCGTGACCCAAAGCTCAGTATATAACAAGCTATTGCCTGCTTTATACTGAGAGCACCGTGGCCAGGACGGATCCCGACACTGCTGTCGAGGTCCACCCAGCTGGCTGATCGACAGCGGACTCTGCCTATCTAGAAACAGAGCTAGTTGTGTCCGCCCCCTCCCCGTCTGTTCCTCCACTCAGCGCTGGAGGATCAGAGAGGGGAGGGGGAAATCACTGCGGGGAGGAATGACTGACAGTCACTGCTCTCTGCAGGGAGATGAACGAGAAGTAAGCGAGCGACGATATGTGTTCACTCACTTCCCGTTCTATAGAGCCGACGTGTGACAGCTTCGTTGTCACACGTTGGCTCCAACTATGACGATGAGTGGAAATCACTGACCTCATAGTTCTCCTTTAAGCTATAAAGCAAAGTTATAAATCAGAGTAAATGAATGGTGCTTAGTGCTGTGTGCTATGAAAAAGGAAAGATTTTACAGCTAATGAGTAGTTTTTTCCGGCAGAGTTTCTCTTTAAAATCTGAAGCTGGATATGAAATATTCAATGACTTTTCTTCTCCCTCTCCATACAGAAAGCCAAATTTCCTTCTAGCAGGCCACATGACTACATCATACTAGAGCGCAGGAGAAAGGATGACCTGCGTGAGCAGATGTTGGCCTTCATCAAGGAGAACGAGTATGGAGATCTGAGGGACAAATGGGAGCTGCGCACAGATCACAAGATACTGAACAACACGGTCCAGAGGAAGGTGAATGACACAATCGAGGAGTACCGGATGCAGATTGAGGAACGCAGAGACAGGTCATTATTACTAAACATTAAGGAGCATCTAAAGCCAAGAACAAAAATGTCTTATATCGCAGCTTACCACCAGAATGTTGTGGCTGCATTCGTTTTTTTTCAGTCTCTATGCCCTTTATTTTCACCCGGTTATCCTGCAAATAACACATTTCCTATCCCTACGTGGCTACATGCACTTCTCCACTGTATCTATAGAGGCAGCCATGACTGTCACGCAGGCCGCACTTTATCTGTCCTTGTTCATCTTCCTAAAGGTGCCCATACACCTGCCGATTATCGTACGATAATCGCGGGTGATCCCGCGATCATACCATAATCGGCAGGTATAAGGGCAGCGTGCGACCTCTTCTACTGTAAGGTCGCACGTCATTCGTCTTCCAAGCACGCTTGAAAACCTGCCGAAAATCGTACGAGACGAATGCCGCACAGGCCGGTGTGCGCCGCAGCTGAAACGGATCCCGACAATTATGTCTGGATCCGCCCAGCTGCGTGACTGACAGCTGGCTCTGCCTATCTAGAGGCAGAGCCAGCTGTACCCGCCCCACCCCCCGTCCGTTCCCGCCAGTCAGCACTGGAGGATCGGACAGGGGAGGGGAGAATCCAGTGACGCCCCTGTCACGGCTCTCTGCAGTGACAGGATCGAGAAGTGAGCGAACGCAGGTATGTGTTCGCTCAGTTCCCGATCTATTGAGCCGACCTGTGACAGTTTCATTGTCACAGGTCGGGTCAGATTATGAGGCTGAGTGAAAAGCACTCACCTCATAATTCTCCTTTAAGCAGTTCTGGAAGCCTTCCATTATTCCGAATCGGAGTGAATCTATTATAACCTGAGTTGTGTAGGAGTGCTAACTTTTCAGACAATGCTCCATTTCTGGCAAGATCACCAGGTATTTTCTGTACTTGCTGAAAATGTTCTTGGCCTGAAAAAAAACTAATGCAGCCACCAATTCTAAGGACTGGCAAGCTGCAATATATGACATTTTGTTTTTCGCTTTACCACACAATGCTGCAGCCAAATCAATGGCTACACTGTGTTTGCAGCCACGCTGCCTAGCAACAAGTGAAGCCGGCTTCCTTGCCAATCAGGAAGCCAGAAGCTGGGTCATTACGTGCCGCCTGGCTTCCTGATTGGTTAGGAAGCCAGGCTGCATACCAACAAGTGAAGCTGGCTTACTAGCCAATCAGGAAGCCAGACGGCATGGCATGACCTGCTTCCCGGCTTCCTGATTGGCTAGGAAGCCGGCTTCACTTGTTCATAGGCAGCCTGGCTTCCTGACTAATCAGGAAGGTGGGTCATTACATGCCACCTGGCTTCCTGATTGGTTAGGAAGCCAGGCTGCCTACCAACAAGTGAAGCTGGCTTCCTAACCAATCAGGAAGCCAGGCAGCACGTCATGACCCGTTTCCTGGCTTGCTGACTGGCTAAGAAGCCGGCTTCATAGGTTCCTAGGCAGCCTGACTTCCAGACCGATCAGGAAGCCGCAAGGCCGGTCATAATGCTTCCTGATTGGTTAGAAAACCAGGCTGCCTAGCAAGAAGTGAAGTTGGCTTCCTAGCCAATCAGGAAGCCAGGAGGCGGGTCATAATCCACTGCTCGGCTTCCTGATTGGAAAGGAAGCCGGCTCCATGCTCCCTCATCACTGCCGGTCAGAGGAAGATCTCCCTCCGATTGGAAGTTGTGGTATCGGAGGTAAGTACTCGTACTCGCCCAAATACTCAGTATCAGCACTGATACTGATTCTAGTATCGGTGCATCCCTAGTATTTACATTCATTGAAATGCAACATATTATTATGCTACATACATATATGCCCCACCTACTACAAGCTGCCTACAGGAAACTACAGGAGGGAGCAGAGACAAGACCAGTCACCCTGCACAAGGAGAGAGAGCAGCAGTGACCGGTCTTTATTACAGGAGGGGGCGGAGACAAGACCAGTCACCCTGCACAAGGAGAGAGGGCAGCAGTGACCGCTCTTTGTTACAGGAAGCTCCAGCGCAGAGGCAAAGTATTTCAAGTTTTAAAATGTAATGCTAATTCACATAGCGGCTTGACCATTTTATTGTTTCTTGGGACAGACTGAAGGCCTTGCTGGAAATAGAGGAGCTGAAGTACATCCAAGAGATGGAGTCCATGCAGGAGACCACTCTGGAGAGACAGGCTAAGATGAGGGAGAGAGCCAGAAGCCTCAGAGAAAGACGAGAGAAGGACAGACTGGCTTTGGTGGCAGAAAAACGTGACCAGCAGTTCAGGTAACTCATGACCTCATCACTATCGGAGTAAAAGTTAGAAATGATGGCAGCTCAGGAGTCAATAATACATCACAACTAATGTCTGGAGGAGGACAAATATTTCCGGATTAAGAGAAAGTGATGGCGGCCTGAATCAAACCAGCCCACTCAACTCCGTCCGAGACCATGCATCTCGGACGGAGTCCGGATTCCGGAAATATCTGTCCTCCTCCAGACATTAGTTGTTTGGTAAGTACGGGGTACCCACCTTTCGGGGGGCCTCACACCTGTGGTGCCGATTGCTTAAACATTCTAATTTATGTTATATTAATTTATTAATGAATTGAATGATGCAATTAAATCAATTGATGTATAATTGTTATTAGGGATGTCCCGATACCCCTTTTTTAAGACCAAGTACAAGTACAACCCCTCATGTACTTGCCGATACCAATTACCAATACTTTTTCTTAAAGGGACAGGTGCCATTTTTTTAAAAAAACAATAGACTAATGATTTTAGGCCAATTTGTTTATAATTATGAAGAACTTTAATTAAAGACTGTCTTAGATCTTAATATATATACCCAGAGGGGGAGAGGTGCAACTAGGGAGCTACTGTCTAGGCAGACTCAAAGTTGATTATAACATCACACTTAATAAAATCACTGAAACAACACCTTAACCGCGACCCTTTCTATTGTAAAAGTGCTTTGGATAACGTATGAAACATCTTCAGCATTACAGAATTCGGTGAAGTTGAATGTGACTAACTGCTGGATATTATAGTAAGAGTGCTTGTCAATAGCAATGGGTTTTCTGACAAGAATATGGATAGGAAAACGTATCTGATGATAAAACACTGCAGCCTCAGCCACATTGCTTACACCACCAGGATGTAGACCTGTAGAACCATACTCCTATATAACTATGTTTCAGGGAGCAGTGTGAGGAGCTGCGGGCTCTAAAGTCACGGGTGCACCAGAAAGAGGTGTGTACGGAGAGGATGGCACAGCTGACAATGAAAGAGGAGCTGGAGAGACAGAGGAAGGAGGAAGAGGACCTGTTTGCTGAGCTCTGGGAGAGAGACCGCTTGGCCAAAGTGGAGAATGAGGAAAGGAAAACCCAAAGGCAAATGGAGCTGAACCGAGAATTGCTGGACTTCCTCCAAGCCCAGAGAGCAGCTGCAGAGGCCCAGAAAATGGAGGAAAAAAGGCTCAAAGAAGAAGAGGCCTACCTATTGGTGAGGATTTTCTGTAATGATGCAGAGATTCTGATAGGGGATGCCAGGAGACTATACCGGGCTTTCAAATACAGGCTGGGCAGTTGGACCTTTAGGCACCATAAGGGCCCATTCACTCCATGTCAGTTTCGTCACACAATGGACTGAAAATCAGGCCTATAGCATTTTTGGGAATGCTGCATTCAGTCAGTGCTTTTGGGTGCCAGTGAAACCACAGGGGTGTGCATGGGCCCTTAATGTGCCAGATAGTTGTTTTTGGGTTTTTTTGCAGCATAGTAGCTGCAAACCAGGGCATGCAGTTGTTGGTATTAATTAGGGATGCACCAATACTAGTATCAATATCGGTGCCGATGCCAAATATTTGGCCAAGTACTTGTACAAATGCTCCGATGCCTAGCCCGACAATTCCGGTATCAGGAAGCCGGGCAGCATGTAATGACGTGCTACCCGGCTTCCTGATTGGTCGGAAGCTGGCCAATCAGGAAGCCAGGCGCCGTGTAATGACGTGGTGCCCGGCTTTCTGATTGGTCGGGAAGCCGGCTTCATGCTCCCTCGCCTCCTCATTACAAGGGAGCATGGAGCCGGCTTCCAGGCCAATCAGGATGCCGGGCGCTGCGTCATTACACAGTGCCCGGCTTCCTGATTGGCCAGAAAGCCGGCTCCATGCTTTCTCGTCACCAAGTGACGAGAAGCATGGGTACTGCTTCCCTGCTAATCGGGAAGCTGGGTGGCGAGTCATTGCACGCCTCCTGGCTTCCCGAATGGGACTTCCAGTATCGGTATTCGTCCAGTATCGGCGAGTACCGGAAAAAAATATCAGTACTTGTACTCAATAATGAAATACCGGTATCGGTGCATCCCTAGTATTAATACACTTATGCATTGAGCATTTTCACTTTTCAACCACTTGAGTACCTTGAGCATATGAAATATGCCCTAAAAAGCTTCAACAGAGTTTCCAGGGCATACCTCCTATGTTCAGCTTGTCTCCACCCACCATCGCTCCCCTGCCGCTATTATTGGCTATCACTGGCTATCAAAATGCTACTGCTCCTGTGTAAAATGACACTCGCAGATAGTCTGCAAGCGGAACGGAGTAATGCAGTGTAACAAAGTATTGTTACATTGTAATTACCAACTCATATACAGTAGATGAAAAGTGTGAGCTTTGATCTGCACATGACATCAGTTTAAGAAAATTAAAAGTAAAAAAAAATTAAATTGAAGATAGAATTCTTTATTTGTCATTGCATGCGAGACAGCGAACTACAGTTTAGCTCACACCACTCTTAGGCAGCATAAAAATCGCTTGACATAGGTATCCTAAAACCTAACCTTAAAAATATAACAAACATATAAATTAGAGATGCACCGATACAGGTTTTTCGGTATCGAGTAGGAGTACCGATATTTTATGCAAGAGCCGATACCAAATACTGATACCGGAAGTCCCATTAAGGAAGCCGGGCAGTGTGTAATGACTTGCCGCCCAGCTTCCCGATTAGCTTGGAAGCCGGCTCCATGCTCCCTCGGCACCAAGTGACGAGGAAGCATGAAGCCAGCTTACTGGCCAATCAGGAAGCCGGAGGCCAGGAAATGACTCACCTGCTTCCAGTCCAATCAAGAAACCGAGAGGCGGGTCATTACACGCTGCCCGGCTTCCCGGCCAATCAGGAAGATGGGGGGGGGTGGGGGGGGGTGTAATACTGGAAGTACTGGTATTGGGGTAGGCATCGGTAGCATTTGAGGGCGTACAAGGCCAAATACTCGGTATTGGCACCGATACTAGTATTGGTGCATACCTAATACAAATAGCAAAGCAACTCAACATACATTTAAAATAAATAATATAAATTAGGGATGCACTGATACCGGTATTTTGGTACCGAGTACAGATGATTTTTTTACGGTACTCGCCGATACCAATTACCGAGTACCGGAAGTCCCATTCAGGAAGCCAGGTGGCGTCTAATGACTCGCCACCTGGCTTCCTGATTAACAAGAAAGCCGTCCCAGCCTGTCCCCTCTCACCTCGGCATGTCCAGCCTGTCACCCCCGGGGCCTCTCAAACCAGGAACGGTCTTCCTCCGGTACCCAGCCGGAGCCGTCTTGATGGCCAACCATGGAAGCAGGGCGTCGTGTAATGGCGCTTCCTGACACCGGAATTATCGTGCTAGGCATCGGAGCATTTGTATGAGTACAAGTACTTGGCCAAATACTCGGTATCGGCATTGATATCGATACTAGTATCGGTGCATCCCTAATATAAATAAATATTCTCCCCCTGGCCGAATTACAGTAATACACAAATTCCCAATCCCACTCATTCCATCCTCTCTCTAAGTCAATCAAACGATTTACCGTGTGCAAAAAAAACTGTTACCCATCCTATTTGTTTGTGTCAGTCTCAGTCACAGTCTACCAGAAGGGAGCAAATGATTGCCAGGAAATAAATTATTCTTATTTACTCCTTTATTAACCCTTAGTAAACCCTAATCAGCCCTAGTTCACTCCTTCCTCCCCTTTTCCACTTATCTATCATTTTTCAGATTATTTTCATTTATCTTTTTTTTTTACCATCAATATTTAAACTTCTTTTTTACTTTTCATTTGTTTGGTTGTCTTTCTTTTTGTCACATACAAAATAAATAGGCAAAATAAAAAAAAACACGTTTTTTTCCATTTACAATTAACTCTACCGTGCTTTGTACCAGGCACATCATTTTAGTGTCATTTTAAAACAGGACAAATTATAGAATAAAAAGTAAACTTCTATTTACAGCAGAAGTATGTTTTTTTCTTTAAATGAACACAGGTCCAAAAAAAAAGATTTATTTTTTTTAAGACAATATTACTAAAAATAGCCTAGCTTGTCCCCCAAAAAATCAATGTATGTATTAGTTTGCTATCTTAAATAATGACAGTTTTATCGCTGTACAAACAGGCCCGTAGTGGAAATGTAAAGATTGTTCACGCCCTTAGGGGGGGAGGGGGGGGAGGTGCAGGTTCAAGAGCTGAAGTGGTTCATAAAAAGGAAGTAGATTCAAAGCAAAGAGGTAAAATGGTAAATGGAGCCATTGAGGACTCTTACATCCTTTTACGGAAATGGGAGAGAAGGTAACATACAAGATAAGAGTTGTCCATGACCAAACAAAGCTAATTTTGTTTTAGGGGATTGGAACTTTTTAACTTGAGATCTGCCCTGCACATACCCACTCACAAGGGCACAAATTCAACTTTGTACACAAGGATCCAGCAGTTAGCGACCTGAGGTAACTAATCCCTTCATGTTGGGATATAGAAAATATCAGCCGCACGGCTAATGCATTTGTTCCCCCCGATATGTCAGGGGGACTTATACAGTTTTATTTATAAACTGCCCCTAGATGGCGCTGAGGAGCATGAGAGATCCCTCTACCCCTCAGTGCCATCTGGGGGTGCTAGTGCCAAGTGAACGGCATCCCACCAGCTATACATCTGGTGGAAATTTTATAAATAAACCCGATAGAGTTGCACTGTGAGAAGGAGCAATAAAGAACAACCATTGTTGTACTAACAATTTATCATTATACTGAATATATATATTTTATAATAACTATACCTGTGACAGGCGGAACAGCGGAAGCTGATGAAGATGGAGGATGAACGCGCTTTGCGGGAAAAGCAGCAGAAACAGTCTCGGGTCAGGACCATGTTAGATCATTCCATCCGCCTGAAGATGAAGCGACTGGCTCGAGACCAGCAGGAGGAGTTAGCGCTCGACATGAAGATCATGGAACAGATCATGCAAGACTCCCATGATGACACAGAGGAGAAGCGCCAGAGGAAGGTAAGGATTATATTAGAAATGTCCCGATATCACTTTTTTAAGACCAAGTACAAGTACTGTCCCTCAGGAACTCGCCGATACCAATTACCGATACTTTTTCTTAAAGGGACATGTGACATTTTTTTCTATAACAACACAGACCGATGATTTTAGGGCAGTTTCTCACCAGGGCTAAGTACGGATGTCACCAGAACTGAACACATTTCCCCAAGGCCGAACACATGTCACCACAGCAGCACACATGTCCCTAAGGCAGGATAGTATTTTGCTTTGGGGACATGTATTCTGCTTTGGGAACATGTGTTCTGCAAATACATGTCACCAAAGCAGAATTCCTCTCACCAGGCTACGTGTCGATCTCACTGGGCGACGTGGACATCTGTAGTGGCTTTGCGGGCACTCCACCTCACCAGCGATGTCGGGACCCGGCCTCACCCACTTCTAGTCCGGCGATGCTGCCACGTCCAGTCCGGCCGTACCGGCCCAGTCCACCCCGTCAGTGTGCAACAGGAACCCCCAGCTTCTAGCCTTGGGGCAGTAGTTCCGCCCCGAGGCTGTCCATGGCTGTGCCGGAAAGGAGGAGGAGGAGATAAAGAACCAGACAGGCACTGCCATGGACAGCTATCTGCAGGTTTCCAGCAGGCTGCCGAGGTCCCCACAAGCGCAGGAACTCGGACGGCCGCTGCTGTTTGAAAATTTAAAGGGCTGGTATCGGCCTTAAGAATCGGGGCATTTTCACGAGTACAAGTACTCATGGAAATGCCTGGTATCGGCCCCGATACCGATATTAGTATCGGAATCGGGACATCCCTACATCATACGATACTCTCATACTGAAGAACAGTATTCTGTGTATTTAGTCTGGAGTTCTACTTTAAAGTTATAATAAGTGGCCCCTTTTGAAGAACTTGGGGCTAACTATTAAGCTTCCAAAATCTAACAGACTGCCTACCACTGATCTCAAGTTTGTAGCAAGCCAGACCCAGTGCGCTGTAATCACTGACATGACTCCTGTCCCCATGTTTAGCTGGAGCTGCATAAGGAACAGCAGATCTACCGGCAGTACCTGGCCCAGCAGCTGGAGGAGGAGAAGAGACAGGAGAGGGAGATGGACAAGCTGATCGAGACTGAGCTGGAGAAGTCCTGGGCCAAGAGGGCCGAGCAACTGCGGCGGGAGAAGGAGGCCAGGAATCGGCTGATGAAAGATGTCATGGACACCCGGAGACTTCAAATCCAAGAGAAGTGTAAGGAGACACATTCATTCATAAGAGTGTTCTTTGTATCTGACCAGACCAGAGTTTACCAGAGTTTATTGAAGCCTAGGTTCACCTCCAGCACACAGATAAGTCTTTCCCCATTGAGATCCCACCTCTTGCACGTGCGCGCGCGCGCACACACACACACACGCACACCTGTCTTTCCCCTGCATCCCTCCTCCAGCACACACACATTGGTCTTCCCCTGTATCCCTACTCCAGCACACACACACACACACACACACACACACATTGGTCTTCCCCTGGATCCCTCCCCCAGCACACACACATAGGTCTTCCCCTGTATCCCTCCTCCAGCACACTCACACACACACACACACACACACGCACACACACATTGGTCTTCCCCTGGATCCCTCCCCCAGCACACACACATAGGTCTTCCCCTGTATCCCTCCTCCAGCACACTCACACACACACACACACACACACGCACACACACATTGGTCTTCCCCTGGATCCCTCCCCCAGCACACACACATAGGTCTTCCCCTGTATCCCTCCTCCAGCACACTCACACACACACACACACACACACGCACACACACATTGGTCTTCCCCTGGATCCCTCCCCCAGCACACACACATAGGTCTTCCCCTGTATCCCTCCTCCAGCACACTCACACACACACACACACACACACGCACACACACATTGGTCTTCCCCTGGATCCCTCCCCCAGCACACACACATAGGTCTTCCCCTGTATCCCTCCTCCAGCACACTCACACACACACACACACACACACGCACACACACATTGGTCTTCCCCTGGATCCCTCCCCCAGCACACACACATAGGTCTTCCCCTGTATCCCTCCTCCAGCACACTCACACACACACACACACACACACGCACACACACATTGGTCTTCCCCTGGATCCCTCCCCCAGCACACACACATAGGTCTTCCCCTGTATCCCTCCTCCAGCACACTCACACACACACACACACACACACGCACACACACATTGGTCTTCCCCTGGATCCCTCCCCCAGCACACACACATAGGTCTTCCCCTGTATCCCTCCTCCAGCACACTCACACACACACACACACACACACGCACACACACATTGGTCTTCCCCTGGATCCCTCCCCCAGCACACACACATAGGTCTTCCCCTGTATCCCTCCTCCAGCACACTCACACACACACACACACACACACGCACACACACATTGGTCTTCCCCTGGATCCCTCCCCCAGCACACACACATAGGTCTTCCCCTGTATCCCTCCTCCAGCACACTCACACACACACACACACACACACGCACACACACATTGGTCTTCCCCTGGATCCCTCCCCCAGCACACACACATAGGTCTTCCCCTGTATCCCTCCTCCAGCACACTCACACACACACACACACACACACGCACACACACATTGGTCTTCCCCTGGATCCCTCCCCCAGCACACACACATAGGTCTTCCCCTGTATCCCTCCTCCAGCACACTCACACACACACACACACACACACGCACACACACATTGGTCTTCCCCTGGATCCCTCCCCCAGCACACACACATAGGTCTTCCCCTGTATCCCTCCTCCAGCACACTCACACACACACACACACACACACGCACACACACATTGGTCTTCCCCTGGATCCCTCCCCCAGCACACACACATAGGTCTTCCCCTGTATCCCTCCTCCAGCACACTCACACACACACACACACACACACGCACACACACATTGGTCTTCCCCTGGATCCCTCCCCCAGCACACACACATAGGTCTTCCCCTGTATCCCTCCTCCAGCACACTCACACACACACACACACACACACGCACACACACATTGGTCTTCCCCTGGATCCCTCCCCCAGCACACACACATAGGTCTTCCCCTGTATCCCTCCTCCAGCACACTCACACACACACACACACACACACGCACACACACATTGGTCTTCCCCTGGATCCCTCCCCCAGCACACACACATAGGTCTTCCCCTGTATCCCTCCTCCAGCACACTCACACACACACACACACACACACGCACACACACATTGGTCTTCCCCTGGATCCCTCCCCCAGCACACACACATAGGTCTTCCCCTGTATCCCTCCTCCAGCACACTCACACACACACACACACACACACGCACACACACATTGGTCTTCCCCTGGATCCCTCCCCCAGCACACACACATAGGTCTTCCCCTGTATCCCTCCTCCAGCACACTCACACACACACACACACACACACGCACACACACATTGGTCTTCCCCTGGATCCCTCCCCCAGCACACACACATAGGTCTTCCCCTGTATCCCTCCTCCAGCACACTCACACACACACACACACACACACGCACACACACATTGGTCTTCCCCTGGATCCCTCCCCCAGCACACACACATAGGTCTTCCCCTGTATCCCTCCTCCAGCACACTCACACACACACACACACACACACGCACACACACATTGGTCTTCCCCTGGATCCCTCCCCCAGCACACACACATAGGTCTTCCCCTGTATCCCTCCTCCAGCACACTCACACACACACACACACACACACGCACACACACATTGGTCTTCCCCTGGATCCCTCCCCCAGCACACACACATAGGTCTTCCCCTGTATCCCTCCTCCAGCACACTCACACACACACACACACACACACGCACACACACATTGGTCTTCCCCTGGATCCCTCCCCCAGCACACACACATAGGTCTTCCCCTGTATCCCTCCTCCAGCACACTCACACACACACACACACACACACGCACACACACATTGGTCTTCCCCTGGATCCCTCCCCCAGCACACACACATAGGTCTTCCCCTGTATCCCTCCTCCAGCACACTCACACACACACACACACACACACGCACACACACATTGGTCTTCCCCTGGATCCCTCCCCCAGCACACACACATAGGTCTTCCCCTGTATCCCTCCTCCAGCACACTCACACACACACACACACACACACGCACACACACATTGGTCTTCCCCTGGATCCCTCCCCCAGCACACACACATAGGTCTTCCCCTGTATCCCTCCTCCAGCACACTCACACACACACACACACACACACGCACACACACATTGGTCTTCCCCTGGATCCCTCCCCCAGCACACACACATAGGTCTTCCCCTGTATCCCTCCTCCAGCACACACACATACTGTAGGTCTTCCCCTGTATCCCTCCTGCAGCACACACACATTGGTCTTCCCCTGTATCCCTCCCCCAGCACACACACACACTGTCTTTACCTGCGAGAGAGTCTCCCCATGTGCTTTTTCGGTCCATGTACTTTCTTTCCTCCAGTTGGGAGTACAACAACATTTGGCCATTAGCACCATCACAGGTCAGTTGTCTGTACTCTCCATTCTTTGTCAATGTCCCCTTGCTGATCATTCGCTGATCCCGGCTTCTCAACAAGGAGTTACACATGTGGCTCGCACTGTTATTCTCCCCTCCAACTATATGATTTAACTCTATTATTAGCGGTGCTACAAAAACCTCCATCTAACCTATTCACCTCTTTGGCTTTATTATCCCGTGTGGTAGCCTTTCTTGTGGCCATCACTTCAGTCCCTCAGGGTTCCCAGGAGCCCGGTTTAATCTTTCATATACTAAGGTTGTTTCCTTTGTACCCCAAGTAGTTTCTGTATTTCACCTTATTGATCACATTGTGTTACCCTCCCCGTGTTCAGAACTAGGTCAAACCAAAGAGATTTCTCTCCATTGCGTGGATATGGTGGAGGGCCGTCAGCGTTTGCCTTTCTGACACTGCTTCTTTTAGGCAGACTGTTTCCCTTTTTGTCATTCCCGAAGGTTCTAAAATAGCTTCTCCAGCTTTCAGATCCGTTACCTCAAAGTTATTTCGTCAAGTTGTTGTGCAGTCCTATGATTTGTGAGATAAGTGCTTCCTTTTCCCATCAAAGCCCACTCCGCTAGGGTAATGAGTGCTTCTTGGGCTTTCCATCATCGGGCCTCCGTGTCACAGATTTGTAAGGATCTCACTTGGTCTTCTGTACACTCTTTCTCTACGTTTTACAATGTCCATGTGTCCAGATCCGAAGACGCAAACTTCAGTCAGAGGATTGCAGCATTTCTTGCCCTTGGTTTCCTGTTTTGTTTCTTGTTGGGCTGGTTAGACTGTGTCGTTTGGGTTTGCTCACCCCTCAGTTTGGACTGCTTTTGGCAGTCCCTAGGTTTCTTACTATGAAGATTTTACCCCTCAATGGACAAGTGAAATAGGATTTTTGTACTTGTAATCCTTTTCTTGGGGACCATTGAGGGACACAGCTCCCCACGGGTGTCCCGAGGACTGGTGTCACCCGGAGTGGGTACCAGGTGACACCCTGCAGTGACATCATCGCGCATTCACATTACATCATCACGTATGTGCACAGCATCATCATGACACACGCAATGCGCAGTTGTCTAATGATACCTGATGGCGGCCATCTTGGTGATGGATGATAGCAAAGAGTGGAGGGGATGTGGATAAGGTATACCGCCTGGTCCCCTCCTCACTTGTGCAACTGTTGGGTCCATGACCGAGTACCTGACGTTTCACAGGGGGTGACACCAAAATGACTGTCAGTCATTTTGGTGTCACCTGGGTGTAGGCCGCACCCCCCTAGTGACGCCACAGCAGCTCCCTATGCTCATATGCTGTCATTCTCTCTTTGGACTTCTTACTACAACTAAGCAAATGTGTGGAAGGGATTATACTCTCAAGAGGTCTGGCCTTCAGGTTCCTACTGCCTAGTGTCCATTTCTCCTGTAGTCTGCAGCATAGCCCTAGGTTTCTTAGTGTCAAGGTGTGTCCCTCAATGGACCCTGAGAAAAGGATTTTACGGTAAGTACAAAATTCTTATTTTCTTTCGTTTCTTTCGTTTCATATGTCAAAATGCCTTTTACCTAAGGCATGGTATACAAGTGTATCCCCAGCACTCCTTACAGCGAATAGGACCCTTGTAATTGCGGTGCTCGTAGTGATGAACACGGATGGTGCCGTGCAGGTCAAATGTGTAAGGAATAAAGATCACCAGCACTCAAAGGATAATGTTAAAGGAGAACTATGGGGTTAGTTCTCCTAAGGGTAACGGGAGGACACAAACTAGCGGCCTCCCGTGACCAAAAGCTCAGTATACCGCGAGCTACAGCTCGTGGTACACTGAGACTGCCGCAGCCCGGACGGATCCCGACAAGACTGTCGAGATCCACCCAGCCGGGTGATTGACAGCTGGCTCTGCCTCTAGATAGGCAGAGCCAGCTGTCAATCACCCGGCTGGGTGGATCTCGACAGTCTTGTCGGGATCCGTCCGGGCTGCGGCAGTCTCAGTGTACCACGAGCTGTAGCTCGCGGTATACTGAGCTTTTGGTCACGGGAGGACGCTAGTTTGTGTCCTCCCGTTACCCTTAGGAGAACTAACCCCATAGTTCTCCTTTAAATCCTTGTGCTCATTTATTGAAGGAAAGCGTCCCGTGCATCAAACAGCCAACGTTTCAGGGCCACACGGGGTCCCTTAATCAGGGCACATGGTTACCTTAGGCACACATTTCCCTAATCATACACAATCACTATTGTTACTTCTCGGTGACGCTCTTATTTAAGGTTGTCAGAGCAGAAAGCAGTAGATGACGTGTATACTGAGATGAAGAGCGTTGACAGCTGAGCCCTTCGGTGAGAGAAGTGACCGTACATCAGGGAATCAGTCCTTCCTCAATCACAGTGTTTGGTGGATAGTTCATTGTCTGATTGTGTTCCTAATGACAATCCAGCTTTTGTTCTGCTCTTGAGAAACGTTGCAGAACACAGAACACTTCTCCTCTTTCTGTTTTTCTAGTGGAACAAAATGCCAGAGAACAGGAAGATCTGGGCCGGGATAAGGAACTCTTGGAAAAAGCCATGGCCGAACACAAACAGCTCGAGATGGAGAGGAATGCCAGGTAGAGCCATCAATGGGCAATGATTCAATTATAGAGTCTGCTGTTCTGTATGCATATGTATTTCTCATATTTATTAGGTATCAACTAAGGGTTCGTGTCAACTGGCGTTCTAGTGAAACACCATTCAAATGCATGGGTGCAGCTGCATTCCAATGGAAATCACAGCATTTGACAAATAACGGCTGCTTTTGACCTGCACCTCAATCAGTGGCGGGGGGGGGGGGGGGGGGGGCGGCGCTGGG